TTATTTCCCCCTTCATATTGTTGATTGTGTAGCTGTGTATTCCCCAGATGGCCTCGTGTCTCATCCGCTCTTTCCTGCTGACTGATCCTCAGACTCTGAGCTGCAGTGGGACCTTGGCAGGGTGGCACTGCCAGACTCTGCTCTGGCACATACCCAGCATGCACCCACTGCTGCGAACAACCGTCTTCACCAAATCCAACCTAACACATTTGTGATTTTGGGGCACTTCTGTTCTTTAGTTTTTTCTCTTCTTTTTTTTGTGCTTGGGTTTTTCTGGTTTCCCAGGCAGAAGGGGGCTGTGGGGGAAACTGGATTAGCCCAGCCCACAGCACCACCAGAGTGCTAATTATCTGTGTGGGGCTGCTAATCAGACAAAGCCTACTCTGTTGCACATAAAATCTCTCTCTCTCTCTCTCTCTCTCTCTCTCTCTCTTTCTCTCTGTGGGTATGGGGGAGTGAGTGAATTGTGTTTGGGGGTGGGTAAAGCTAGAATATGCATGGTGCTCCGTGAATGTCACAGTGAAATACAGGCTGCACTGTGTGTTTGTATGGCGCGTGTGTGTTTCTGTGCTAATGTGGGGGTGGGAAAGATCAAATATTCATTGGTTTGGTGCCACACTGATTGTGGTGAATGAGAAGGAGAAAGTTTATTAGGAGAGTTTGTCCGAAATTGCATATAGATAGATAGATAGATAGATAGATAATTATTATACATCTATCGGTTTGTCTTTCTACCTATTCAGCCATTGATCTGTCTATCATTCCATCAGTCTGTCTATCTATCTATCTATCTATCTATCTATCGTGTTCTATCTCTTTATCGCTTTATCATTCTATTTGTAGTTCCCTGTTCATTCTATCTGTCTATCATTCTGTTATTCATTTTGTCTGTCGTTCTGTCTGTTGTTCATTCTATCTGTCTGTCATTCTGTCTTTTGTTTGTTCTATCTGTTGTTGTTCTGTCTGTCTATCTATCATTCTATTTATCGATCTCTCGTTCTCTCCATCCATTCGGTACATCATTCTATCCGTCATTCTATCTCTCCATCTTTAAACTATAGATGTGTACATGTGTGCACAAAAGTTGTCTCTCCCTCTCATTCATGGAGCATAGAGAAAAATATCTGTTCCTGTCCCTGAATTATGGAGTGTAGGTGTCCTGGCCTCCCCCTCCTCATCTATTTTTAATTCTAATAGCATTTCCTGTGTCCCTCTGTGGACTCCCATATGGATACCTTCAAATGTCACTCATATTACAAATAGAGATAAGGGCTTATGTCATCTCTTTTTCATAATGCGGCCCGAAAAAAGGCTCCCTCCTGCCAAGTATGTTCTTGCTAGTTGCTGGGGTCTTGAGACTAGCTGTCAAGAGTTTGTGTGATTTCTTTGTTCCTCGCCTCTTTTCTCTCATGCATATCAAAGGCTGAACCCATTATAGGCTGTAGCACACAGTTGTGTTAGCATCAGCCTTCACAGGTTAATCATTCCGAGGGGTTTGCGTATCAGATGTGCGAGGCGGTGTTTGGCTTATCGCGCTGCAGTGCTGTTCACCCGCGTTCAGCTCGGCTCGCTTCTTATCAGATGCGCGACTGCCGCTGCAGCAGCTGGAGGTGTTACTCCTGCATGCCTAAGCACAGAGCTGCATATCGTCGGCCCATCTAAATAGGAAGAGAGCGTCCACATGTGTCCCTGCCAACCTCCACCCCGTCCTCCCAACCCTGCCTTTTTGTCTCTGATTACTGTGGAACATTTCCGTTCCTGGAGCTCCAGGACACTGATGGATAGACAGCGGGAGAGCGGAGACGGTCTCTGAATCATGCTCTTTTAGTTTAGTTTTATTTATGAGCTCATGTCAGGCACGTACTTCAGCAGTGAACTTCAGAGAATGGCCTGTTCGATATCTGCCATCTGAGTAAGCATGTTTGCCACTTAATGATACTAGAGTGGGAAGATTTTTGTGGGGAAAATCGATTGATACACTTATCTATTTGTTTTCGCTCGATTTGAATTCAAATGATGTGGCACATTCTCCCCTCTGTTTTCACTTCCTCTCTGCTTTTCTCTTTCTCCCTCTATAGAGGGTGAAACGTTATAATTAGCTCTAGTACTTTCTTTCCTGTGTAAACTTGTTTCCTGTTAAAATATAAAGTTTGAGTCAGACTTTTTTTCATAGACAATTGCTTTTACTTTGTCATAGCCATGAGCATAATTTGCTATTTGCTATTCTAGTCAGAATCAGATGGTATTGCAGTATATTTAAATAATGTACAATAATACCGATATGTTTTTAATTGTATTTGTGACTCTGCACCACAAAACCAGTCATAAGGGTACATTTTTTTTAAAATTGAGATTTATAGATCACCTGAAAGCTGAATAAATAAGCTTTCCATTGATGTATGGTTTGTTATGATAGGACAATATTTGGTCGAGATACAACTATTTGAAAATCTGGAATCTGAGGGTGCAAAAAATCTAAATATTGAGAAAATTGCCTTTAAAGTTGTCCAAATGAAGTTCTTAGCAATGCATATTACTAATCAAAAATTAAGTTTTGATATATTTATGGCAGGGAATTTACAAAATATCCTCATGGAACATGATCTTTACTTAATATCCTAATGAATTTTGGCATATAAGAAAAATTTATAATTTTGACCCATGCAATGTATTTTTGGCTATTGCTACAAATTTACCCATGCTACTTATGACTGGTTTTGTGGTCCAGGGTCACATTTATATATTGTATTTTTATTGACAATTTATATTTACATTTGTGTGTGTGTTTGTATGTGTACATATATATATATATACAGTGGGTACGGAAAGTATTTATTTTATTTATTAAACATTATAGTAAAAGCTTCTTTCTGTTTTAATATAATTTAAAATGTAATTTTTTTCCACTGATGGGAAAGCTGACATTTTAAGCAGCCATTATTCCAGTTTTCAGTGTCACATGATCCTTCAGAAATCATTCTGCTTATTTGCTGCTCAGAAAAAAATGTCTTACTATTATCAGTGTTGAAGTTTTTCTGCTTAATGAACTTGTTGAAACCATGATACTTTTTAGGTTTCTTTATTGGAAAGTGCATTTATTTCAAATAAAAAAATCTTTTGTATCATAAATATCATTTTTGGTCAATGTAATGCAGTCAATGTAATGCATCCCTTCTGAATACATTTTTATTTCTTAAAAAAACAACAAAAAAAACTTTCTGACCTTAAGCATTTAAATGAAGTGCATTTACAACAAAATTGTGTATATTTGTATATATATTTTCTGTAGCTGTAACATGTTCATTTTATCACTAGCTTATAAATACCCCCAAAGAGGACAAAGACACTAGGTTTCATGAGGTCCACCTGGCATGGCTAATATGTACTATAGTTGAAGCATGGTGTGCTGCCAGCCTATTGTCCTCAGTCCTGCTTATAATGGTGTGATGTCCTCATGATTCTTATTCACGGATAGACCGGAGCCTGTGCCAAACCTCAGCAAGACTCACCCAGCTCTCGCACATCACTGAACATGACCTTGGGCCACTGTTGAGTTTCTTCAGCCAGGTGCCACCAGAGTCAGCAAGTTACTTGTCACCATGCTGACTTTCCTGGAAATATGAACTATGATTTAGGCCTAGAACTTTCCCTCAATTTCGTATTGACGGACTTACTTTTGCAAGGGTAACCATGGCATCAGCCTTACCATCTGCAGCTTTGTGGCTGCTAGTCTTGCATCACATGACTGTAATTGAGTAAAAGGATGCAGGTGCTTTGACTGAACACAAACTGCCTCTTCCTGATTGTCTTCTCCATCGTCTGTTATTTGTGTGCGCTGTAAGTTTGTGTAAACGGTGAATTGTGTCTCCTCTTCCTGAGCTATTCATTCATCACAGCTGCAGTCTAATTAATGTCATTTCTCTGCATGAAGATCTGTGTGAAGATGTGTTTGTCTTCTCTCATCTGAGTTTATCCAGGATTGATATTTTTAACCAACTTTGATTTGATTATTTGCCTTTCCTTATATGAGATATGGCCACATTTACAATTGTTCTGTGAATTTTTGTGGGTCACTTTATCAGGAATATATGTGATTAAGCATTTAACGAGAGCGAAAGATTTCCCCACACAAATTTCGCTACAGGTTTGAGTGTTCAACGCAGCACATCCACGTGACTCAATTTTTGTTGTTATTACCGCACATTTACTTGTACTGTGGCAGCAACATAGTCCAGTTTTGATCAAGTTTAAACCAGCCTAAACTGGTTCGCTGATGAAGACGACAACTCCCATGATTCCACACTCAGTCACGGCGTCATCAAACTATGCCTTTGTTTCTTTGTTTATTTTGAATACACGCCCTCTAGCGGCGAAAATTACATATTGTGCCTTTAACTAGTCTAAACTCCTCTAAAGCCAGTCTAGGATGCCAAGATCTTTGATCATTAAAAAAACAAATTTCATAAGATTCTTAAATATTTAGAAAATGTTAATATTGAATTAATTTTGAAAGATTGTTATATTTAAAACATTAAATACAATTTATTTTTTATTTAAATTTTTTAACTGTCCTTTTAATAGTATTTTATTAACTTACTTAATTAACTTTTAATAGTATTTATGTTTTGAAATGTATTGTTTAAATAATTGATTTTAGAGTTTGCTGTTTTATTTTTAACTTTAGACAAAATAGTATATAATTTAACATGAACGTGAATATAGTGACTTTTTGTTTTGTTTTTTCTGTTAGTGTTATTTCCGTTATGAATGTTTCAGAGCTTTATCTGGTTGATTTGGCACAAGTTTCCTACCATTTAGACTGGAAGGTCTGTTGAGATACCTCATTTGGCTCACGATTTTAAGGCCCACAGATATATCCATGCACGTCTGTGATTGCTAATGAGTTTTATTGATATGTGAGGGAGTTATTGTGTCAAGCTGTATAAGCCGGTATTGAGAGTGTGTATGGCTTGAAGTCAACCATCTCCTCTGCTCTGCAGGTCAGTTCCAGTAAGGCAGCTGGGAGTGCTCAGGCCAACTCCGCCAGAGGGGCTGTGGCAGGTGCTACGGGCACAGGAAGTGCTGCTCCAGCACAGGGTGATCTGGACCTGTTCAGCGAAACCAGCGGGAGCAGCAAAGCAGAGGACTCGGCCAAGAAACCTCTCTCCAAGGACTCTATTCTCTCCTTGTATGGCTCCAGCACCGTCCCACAACAGCCTGCACAAGGTACATCCATCCCCCAGAGTCCCACTTTCTTATTCCTCAGAGAATGAGCGATCTGAGCGAGAAAATGCAGATCTATAAATGGCGCTATACATCCGGAGTCCATTTCTAATGGTGCTTTGGGAGTGTGTGTGTGTGTGTGTGTGTTTGAGTAAAAGAAAAAGCAAGCGAGGTTCTTGAGAAGCCCTGCTTTAATGGGGGTATCAATAATTCAAGCACTGCGTGTCTCAGCACTCTGATACTGCTGAACGTGGTTTAAAGCTGCCTGCTTCGCCTGCCCTACTCTTCAAAGAGGACATTTCCCAAAACCTCAGATGCTCCAAATGAAGGCACTGCCAATTCTTCACCATCAGGACGTGTTAGATGCCCCCTTTCATCCTGCGCACCTCTTCTGTCTCAAAGATCCATTTCCTCTGGGCTCGAGGCGAGGAACTGCACACATTAGCGCAGATATTGATCGCTCTCTGCCGTCTGTGATGTTTTGTGTGTCAGTGTCCTCTGGTCTGCTTCTTTTTTTGTCTCTTTGAACATATTGAACATGTCGTCGTGTGTAAATCATCTTATTTGTGTTTCTTTGTGTGTTTCTGCTCCCACAGCGACTGCGATGTTCATGGGCCCGTCTCAGATGCAGTTCCCTGTGCAGCCACAGGGGAACTTCCAGGCCTTCCCCGGGATGGGAGGAGCCATGCCCCCCACTACCATGATGGGGGCCGTCATGGGACAGGGTGGTGCTATGATGGGCCAGAATACAGGCATGATGGTTGGCATGACTATGCCTAACGGTTTCATGGGAAACGCACAACCAGGAGTGATGGGCTTGGCCCCTGGCATGATGGGACCTCAGGGCATGGTGCCCCCTCAAAACATGTATGCCATGCAGCCAGGTCAACAAGGACAGTGGAATATGGCACAGGTATGTTATATTTGGATTTGTGACTTGTAATGGTGCTGTAACCAATTTGCCACATATAAAATATTCCTTTAGTCACTGAAATAAGTCTCTTATGAAATCACACACATCTCTGTGACAGCTCTAGGCCTGTGAACGATATAAAGTGCACTTTAAAAACATCCTATGCTGTTATAAGTCTATGCAAGAAGTGTTTTGGTATATTTCGTTTGCTGAAATGCCTTTGAAGAGTGGGATTTTGGAGTTACTAAATTATATTATATTATACTATATTGTAATTTTATGTTAAATGTAAATGTTAGAGTTACCTTTTTAATTAAACCTTCATATTTGTATCTAAATGTATGAATATTATTGATTATTAATATAAATAAATATTCTATTATCATAGACATGATAATATATTAATATATCATTACATTAAATGTTTCGGGTCATTAAGACTTTTTTTTAAAGAGATTACTTTTAAGCCCCATTCACACCAAGAACGATAACTATAAAGATAAAGATATTGGCGTCCACAACAGTGGATGATATCGTCTGTTTATTCTTTATCGTTATAGCAGTGGTTAAGACTCTGCTATTCTTTCAAATTGAGAATGATTTTTAGAACTATATCTTTATCGTTATCTTTATAGTTATCATCCTTGGGGTGAACGGGCCTTTATTCAACAAAGAGGGCATTAAATCGGTCAAAAATGACAGTAAAGACATTTGTAATGTTAAAAAAAGATTTATATTTTCATTAAATTGTTGTTCTTTTTATTCAAGGAAGAATATATATATATATATATATATAAAGAAATCTTACTGACCCCAAATTTTTGAATGGTCGTGTATATTCTTAATAAATTTAGCAGTAAATAGGAAGTGCAGAAATATAAAATAGAAATTTTATATAGAAATATAAAATTAACTTTATATTGTATTATAAAGACAGGGCGATCAGGATGAATTAAATCTAATATTATACTGTGCTCTAGTGATATTTACCTTATGAAAAAGTCCTTATGAAACTAGAGTAAAGATATTGTATTTTTATGTTGGATTGGTAAATCGGTCCACTAGTAAGCTCTTAGAATGCAGATAACACCTAAACTAATCAACCATCTAGAGTCGATCACATTGGTAAACTGGAGTGTACGGCCTAAATAAGTGTTAGGTACATTGCAAGAAGGATCGAGTCTGTAAATTCTGACAGCTACAAGAACCCATTGTGGAGCAAACAATCAGGGAGCTGGCAAAAGAATGATCAATGTAATAATATCATGGCATAAATTATGTTGCAGGTGGAAAAAAGTGAACCTGAACAAATGTCCTAATTACTTACTGTTGATGATGGTACACTTAAGTCACAAACCAGAGGTCAAGAGCTGCAGGTTAGGTTCATAATGTTCCTCTAGGGAATGTATTTTTAACCAACCCTCCAGAATCTGCCATGAGTCAGAGATATAAAAGTAGACGTTCATCATCGGTGCAGCGTGCTGGCTGCAGTGGATCAGCATCGGCTTTTTATAGAGAGAACATCTATATCTGAAGCTATTACCATTCATCATATCCGATTCCAACAATGCATCTCCTGGTATCCACAAAGCTTTCCTTTTATTCAGATCAGATCTTTTCAAAACCATTTCGGTGGAAAGCGAGCTGTCACTTAAGGTCTCTTTCTGTCACTCTCAGCCTATAATCAGAGATTCATAATAAGGGTTTTTAAAATCCTCATCTAATCTGCTGTCACCTCCCATCTGCATGTGGCTCATTAAAGATGAGTGCTCAGTGACTCCGACCTCTCAACTTCTATCATCTCCCTGCCTCGCCCGTGACCCCCTGCGTATGAGGCTCAGAGCAGAGGGAGTCTGAGATTTCGGCCTCCGGGAGGTTAATTACACATCATAAATCAATACAGCATGCTTTACACTCAGATGGCCTTAATTAAAATCCCTCCCCACAATGCGAGCGTGTGCGCACGTCCTGAGTTATAGGCCTTCAGCAGCACATTTGTATTTTGAGAGACCGGCTGAGGAAAGAAATGCGTTTGCTTAATGGTTTTCTGGAGTGAGAGTAATTTTGCTGCGCGGTTCCTGGGAGGAGTGTTGTTTTTTTTCCGAGATGAATCTGACTTGAGATGTTTTTCTTCGTTACCCACCACATAGCGTCTCCCTATTTTCAGAAGGAGGACCGAGGAGAGCCAGTGCGCAGGGAGAAGAAGAATCATTAGTGTTTGATATTCACTCCTCTGAATAGCTGAGTACTGTTCTTGGAGTATTTACAAACACACACACTCTCCCGGCACACTTATTTCTCCATGCGTAAGGCAGTATTGTGTTGAGGAGGAAGCAGGTGTAATTACGAGATTGGCCAAATTTGTCCTGCTGTGCATTTGAGCACAGAAATGAAGTCAAGCTCCACAGCGGATCCTCCTGAGAATTTTAGATGGCAATTTTTTACATTTTTCCCTCTGACTGTCTCACTCTAGTCATACACTTCATGGCCTAAAGCGGTTTAGTCACCTTGTGAGACATCAGAGCACTCTAGGAGTTCACGGTGATGGATAACCTCCCTCACTGCCTCAGGATGGGGTTTAGTGCTTTGGAATTATAGAAGGCCAATGATAAGTGCCTGGATTGTGTATGTTGTAGTTTGCATTTCAGGATTGTATGGGAAAAGGCAAGTGCTACTCCTTCTTTATATTTAAATTGGCCGTTTTTCTTTTCTTTTGTAGCATATCAATATTTATTCCCATCAGTCCACTTATATACACTACTGGTCAAAAGTTTGGGATCAGTAAGACTTGTAATGTTTTTTAAAGAAATCTCTTGTGCTCATCAAGGCTGCATTTATTTGATCAAAAATACAGAAAAAAAACAGTAATCTTGCAAAATGTTAAAATAATGGTTTCTATATTAATATCCTTTAAAATATAATTTATTTCTGTGATGCAAAGCTGAATTTCCATCAGCCGTTACTCCAGTATAAAGTGTCACATGATTCTTAAGAAATCATTCTAATATGCTGATTTATTATTAGAATTATCAATGGTGTGCTGCCAATTTTTTGGGGGGGAAACTGCGATACTTTTTTCAGGATTCTTTGATGAATAAAAAGTTAAAAAGAACAGCATTTATTCAAAATATAATCTTTTCTAACAATATAAATCTTTGCTATCACTTCTTAACAATTTAACACATCCTTGCTGAATAAGTTTTAATTTCTTTCAAAAAAAGAAAGAATAAAAATGTACTGACCCCAATCAGCATATTAGAATGATTTCTGAAGATCATGTGACACTGAAGACTGGAGTAATTCAGCGCTGCATCACAGGAATAAATTAGATTTTAATGTATATTAAAATTGAAAAACTTTATTTTACATTGTAATAATATTTCACAATATTACATTTTTCCCTGTATTTTTGATCAAATAAATGCAGCCTTGATGAGCAGAAGAAAATCCTGTAAAAAAAAAACATAAAAAATCATTCTGATCTCAAACTTCTGAACTGTAGTGTATTTATTGAAAACTCCCAAAAACATTTCTATGCTCATTAGGGCTGCATTTATTTGATCAAAAATATAGTAAAAACATCATATTCAAAAAATATCTGTTTTAATGTAATGTAATTTATTCCTGTTTTGGCAAAGCTGAATTTCCATCAGTCATTGCTCCAGTTTTCAGTGTCACATTATCCTTCAGAAATCATTCTAACATGCTGATTTGGTGCTCAAGAAACACTTATTATTATTATTATTATTATTATTATTATCAACAGTTGTGGTAAATAATATTTTGTGGAAATGATGTTTTGTTTTTTTCAGGATTCTTTGAACAGAAAGTTCAAAAGAACAGCATTTATTTGAAATAGCAATCTTTTGTAACATCAAATGTCTTTACTATCACGTTTAAACAATTTAATGCATTGTTACTGAACGAAAGTATAAATTTTTTAATAATTCTCACATTTTGGAATGGTTGTGTAGTTAGTCTAAAAACAGTCATAATAAAATTTTTCATGACAATTTTACACATTTTTTAAGCAAGCAGTGTTGTGTGAAGTCTTTTATATGTAAATGAGCTCTTTTATGATTGGCTAGCCTCTGCATACTGGCACGCTTCACTGTTTCACTCATCAGATCAGACTGAGCTGCTGAATAGTGAATAAGCAGTTATGTAAACGTTAACATAACCTTGTTATAAACATTATGTAAACACCAACCATCTAGTCAATTAGTGAGGTCTGCTGTGTTTTAGCTGTTGGTTTTTTTTTCTTAAAAGTGGTGCTTCACAGGGAATGAATTTAGAGACTGAACGCAACTTCTCTAAGAGGTTTTTAGCATGCTGGCAGCTGACAGCGGTTTAGTGTGCTGTTAGACTGTCAGCATGGTTTAAGTCACCTCTCTACATTCATCCCCTCTAAAACACCAGCACTACCGCCAGCAGAGCGCCGCTTGTGTCACAGATCCACCGCATTCAACAACATATTTCAAGACGATTAATGTCAGACTTGTTGAACTGAGGATGTGCTGTGAACTGCGAAGTTTCTTTGTGAAGAGATTCGCTTTGTGTAATAAAGGATTGTAATAATTTTAGCCTCAGACAACCCACCGAATGGTCGATTATGTAGTTTTGTACATCCATTGTCAACATAGTGCATCAAACTCTTATTTCAAAGATAGAAAAATCCCGTCTTCCATTATATATCCCTTTTGACAGCTGGATAAAGATTGCACAAACTTTAGTTCCCAGAATTCAAGTTAATAATGAAAAATAAGGGGGCTGCTTATTTGAAACCATTAGTTTTTCTCTTTCTGTTGGCTATGAGCTGTAGAGACAGCGGTATAAATCAGACAGACGTGTCTGATGGGCTGCCCCACAGCCAGCGTACCCCACAGGACCCTCTCCTCTACGCCGCTCTGCTCTCAGGAAGAATACTGGTGGAAGTCAAGGGAAAAGAGTACAGGTATAGAAAATGAAATAAGAGGGGTGATGAGTTTAAAGATCAGAGGACAGCTTAGTAACCTGAAAAAAAGAAAAGAGGAAAAGGGAACATTGGAGGGAAAGGCCATCCACAGGTGAAATGACTGGTCAGATCTCTGGTCTGGTTGTGTGAAAACATGCTACTGTAGAAACTCCACAAAAGCAAATATATTTCTCTTTTAATACCAAAGCTCTGTTCCAAAACCTAGCAACCTTCATAGACAGCATCCCGTGACTAGTTTGAAGCCCTCTACATATAATTATTATTATTTATGTATATTAATTAAATAGTTACATTTGATTTCTGAAGGGTGAAGTGACACTGAAGACTGGAGTAATGGCTGCTGAAAGTTCAGCTTTGTCATCATATAAATAAATGACATTTTAAAATACATTAAAATAGAAAATAGTTATTTTAAATTGTAATGATATTTCACAATATTGTTGTTTTCACTGTATTTTTCATAAAATAAATGTGGGCTTAAAATACTTTTCAAAAATCGACCCCTTACTGACTCCAAACATTTGAATGGCAGTGTATATAATAAATATTTTTATTTCAATAAATGTTTAATTACATTTTTATTTAAAAAAATTTTTTATCAGAAAAATGTTTAAATTAATGAAATATCTATGATAATATTTAAGAATATTATTTCTCTCCCCTTAATGCATTCCACATGTGATGCTGGCTTAGAATTGAGCCAAATTGGGGTATTTTAGGAGACGGTACTTTTCATAAAAACCTTTTCTGTTTGTGGAGTGCCCATGATGCCTTAATGCTTTCTCTGTAGGTTTTGGACCATAGCTAATTATGCTAACAAGTCTTGTGTGTATAGATGTTTCACACTTCTCTCTCTCCCCATTGTCTTTTTCAGATTAACCAACAGATGTCTGGAATGAACCTGAACGCTTCTGGTGCTCCAGTGGCATTTGGGCCACCTGGTGCCCCCATGGGCGGCTGGGTGGCACCCCCCTCCGGTCAGACCCTCAGCACCCAGCTCTGGAAGTAAATGAATGAGGGAAGATGGGGGACAAGGGGCACCACATCCCTCCATCTCTCCTCTCCTCTCCTCCTCCACCACCACTTGCGCCCAGAGTTTTATTCATGTACTGTCATTTTTTTCCCCTTTCTCTTTCCAACCATTACTACTCTGGAGAGCATCGATTCAACCTGCCCTGTGTATTGATCAAGTGAGCGAGAGTATGAAGTGTAAGAGACTGGCAGCTTTGACCGTCTTATTTGCAATTATTTTTTTCTTCTTATATATATATATATATATATATGTTCGGGGGGTTCAAAATACATATCAGCTACAAGAAAGCTGCTGGACCAATTATATAGGCTTCTAATGTATCTTTACCAAATCAATAGTGAGTCATAGTATTTAAAAGACAGAGGTATGGCTATCATATTTGTGACTACCTCCTCCTTTTCCTATCTTCTGTAGCCCGATGTCCCAGAACCCTGTAGCAGATATTGTATAGACCCATGTAATGTATGTAATCATGAGATAGACGATCCCCTCGCCCCCTCTCTCCGGCCTCTCACCCCACTGCATCTGTGTAGCTCCATGACAAACTCCATCTTTACTGTGATGTTTTAATGTGTGCGTTACAGAGAAGCACAGTGAGTGAAAGACAAATAAACCTGGACGACTGTACAGCTGTGACGGCTAACGGGGGGAAAAAAGGGGGGGGTTGTGGGTCAA